GGAAGGTCTACTAAGGGGTTTGGGAGAGGGAGGACCACTAAGGGAAGGGATGGAGGACCACTAAGGGAGAGAGGGGGGAGTGAGAAGACCACCAAGGGGGGACTGCAGAGGGACAGGGGGCCAAGGGAGAGCACTAAGGGACAGAAGGGGTAGAACACGGAGGGACAGGAGGGAAGGGGAAATCAATAATTGACAGGAGGGGAGAGCACTATGAAATTTTTAAAAAAAAATAAAGAGCTGTTCCCCTCTCAGTCCCTATCCTACCCCACAAACCCTCTCTTTTACACTACACACAAACACAATGCATTCCCCCCCCCCACACACACAGAAACATACAATGCATTCCTACTCACACACAGACACACCCAAAACACACAATGCATCCCTTACGTTCACACAAACACTCATTCTCTTACACACAGAAACAAAATGCATCTCTTACACAATCAATGCACCCCTTTACAGACACACACTGCATTCAATTACATACACAGAAACACACCTTGCACCCCTTACACACACAGAAACATACAATGCATTCCTTACACGCAAACACACACTGCATCCCCTATAAACACACTACATCCCTTATACAAATTGGTATCCCTATACACTACATTCTATAAGAACACACACACATTGCATCCTCTACAATAACACATAAAACATCCCTTACACACATACACTACACTTCCTGTGAGAGAACTCATGGGTGGGCCATGTAGGTATTTATGGGTGGGCATTGTAGGCATACTCATGGTCAAGCCCTGGGGGCCCAGACCTTGAGCTGTGTAAGGGGCCCTAAAAAATGGAGCTGCTTCCTGTTCGTTAATTGTTGTGAGCACTGTTAAAAACAGTCTCCAGAGAGCCTCTTCTACACCAGACCTGTGGAGCCAGACTGAGCCCATCATCAGCCTCTTGTCCTCATCTGGTGGTAAGTAGGCAATCCAATATATTATTAGTGGCACTAATCTCACATTAAATGGATACTATAGTCACCAGAAGCACTACAGCATAATGTAGTGGTTCTGGTGTCTATAGCCTGTGCCTGTAGGCTTTTTAATGTAAACACACTGTCTTTTCAGGTAAAAGACACTTTGTGAAGACTGGCGTTGGCCCATATGGGCGGGGCATTGTGATGTTACATGGTGGGCAGGACATGGGGGGGGGGGCGGCAAATTTTTATTTGCCTAGGGCGGCAAAAATCCTTGCACCGGCCCTGGGTAGGGGTAATTTTTACTTAGTAGTAGTAAATTTGTCTGAAAGACCAATTTAGGTCTTTCAGCCTTTTGGTAGATAGCTGCCTAATGACATGGGAATTAGGGAGTTATCTACTAAGCAGCTGCAAGGAAACATCCGAAGTCCCAAAGTGCCGAAGTTCTGAAGTGCCAAACCAAAGTGCCGAAGTGCCGAATTTCCTGAATGCCGAACCGAACCGAATATTATCCCCATGCACATCCGTAGCACTGATGCAGCTGTACTTGATCTGAGAACTGTTCTGGTTTTCAACAGGGAACTTTTTAACCCAGACTGTGGAAGACAGATATGATTGTTTTTGTGAGTACATGATTACGTGCATTGTATATCTTTGTGCAGTGTTTGTTTGTTTGGGGTACAGTTTGCCTAGACTCACACCTTGCGGCTTACTCTGTGTACATCACATTATATTTGTTCCTATTTATGTACCCCATCTAGTGGAGATTGTGTAAATTGCATTGCAATCTTTGCTTTAACCCCTTAAGGACCAAACTTCTGGAATAAAAGGAAATCATGACATGTCACACATGTCATGTGTCCTTAAGGGGTTAAAGAGACTCACAAAAATATTTAACAGCATTTCAAAAAGTTAAACTCTTTATGAAATGCCAATGCAGTCAAAAGATATCATAACATATTATTTCTTATGGAAATATCCTCACTTGACAAAGCTCAACAATAGGCAGAACTACTGCAGGCAAGTTTTGTCAGTTGTCACCGGTAACGGCTGTGAGAATCAGGCATTGTCTTGCTAAACACAAGACATGGAGGCTTATGGCTTGCATGCCCAAGACAAAAAGGAAAAAAAGCATAATCCCAACCTTACTAGCATAATCCCAACATAACTTTTATAAATTAAAATAGACTCCAAGAGATATACATTACAAAGTATTTACAGTACATAATAGTGGTTTCAATCACAAAGGAAAAGTGGGATTCTTATGTCATGCTAATAAAGCGTAGTATTAATATTCACACTAATAGACAGAGAAGAGGGTGAGAAAGGCTAAACTCTGTCGATAAAATTTAAATACAATATTATCGCTACTGATTCTAAATCATTTAGAAGGGTTCACAAAATATGCAAAGACCCCTGTAAATGACAGAGCCACTTTAAAAGGCAGTCTCTCCATTAAAATAATTGTATTTCTTCCTTAACCGTGTTTCTGTGCCTTTTTTGTAATCAAATGCACACGTATATGTAACCTGTATGACTAGATATATGTGTGTAACAGAGTATGTATGTACAATGTTTTTTACTCCATGTGTACTTTGTGTATGTTATAAAGTCAGGAGGTTAGGTTAAAATGTATGTAAGTGGTAAGGTTATTCACTGAAGTGGGTTTTCTTGGAATTCAGTAAAGTAAATATGACATTTTTGGCCAAAATATTTTAAATATGTACACGGCTGAATTCAGTGGTGTACTTGTGTGTAGTGTTTGCGTTTGAATGCAGGGGTGTGTTTGTATGTAATACAGGTGTGCTTTAGTGTATAGTTGGTGTTTGTATAACATTTTTGCATTTTAATACAAGGGTTTGTTTGTATGTAATATTTGCATTTGTGTGCAGAGATATGTTTGGATGTACTATTGCCTTTTAAACGCAGATGTACATTTGTGTGCAGTATTGGTGTTTGAGTGAAGAAGTGTGTTTGTATATCATTTTGAAGTTTGAATTCAGAGAGGTGTTTGTATGTAATCTGTATGTTTATTACAGAGGTTTGTTTGCATGTTGTGGTGGTGTTTGATTGCTGGGATGTATGGTGCATACACTGCCACATACATGCATACTTACACAGGTGTACATGCACATTAACAGAGATGCAAACATATAAACACACTGACACATACACACTCACATATACACAGTGACACATACATACACATAGACACAAAAATACACACACTGACACATGCACACACCTGGACACACATACTGACACACAGATTTATACACTGGCACATACACACACTGACACATAGAAACACACGCTGGCACAAACACTCAGATAAAAACAGTGACACATACACCTTGACACACAGATACACACACACTTAGATACATGCACAAATACAGACACGGGCGCATGCACACACTCAGATAAACACACAGATGCACAATGGCACATACAAACACACTGACATATACACACACACAGATACCCACACATCATTTTTACATTTGCAGCCGCCCTCCTGTTAGCAAACCTTTTTTAAAAAAAAATATATATTTTTTTTGTTGTGCAGGTGAGTACAAGGCAAAGTCATACACCATGACAGTCGCGTAGTCGCCATATGGGCAGGTGGAATTCCCCCCCAAAACTTACCCCAAAAACACACTGACACTGATGTATGGGTCAATATGTGCACAGCTTTATTAATATTGATAACAATAAATTAAAGTCATTGCCCAGCCCCCATCCCGGCATATAACATCATATGTCCCCAAAACAAAAGGCAATGACCCATTCTTTCTGTTAATATAAATAACATCAACAACATTAATAACAAACATCATAAACATAATATAAGTGCCAAACTCATACCGGATACCCCTACCACACACCAGGTTCTGAGCCACCATAACGAACAATTTAACCAAACTCTTCACCAGTAGCCTAAATGCCCTATTCTATTTACACTTCTCCAGAGCCTGTTTGTCCCCTAACTTTTCTCTCTCTAGCCCGGCCACAAGCTCAGACCTTGATCCCTTAAGCTGTCTGAGCTCTGCCACTGCCGGGCAGCTGCTCCCACTGCCATTCCAGATCCCCGCCAGGGCCGGTCCAAGGTGCTCCTGCACCCATGCTGCTCCATGATCCCGTGCTGCCGCCTTCACTTCAGCCAGAAGCTGCTACATTGGATCCGTCCTCTGGGCCTTTAACCTGCAGAAAAAGAAAGCAGAAAAACCTATCAGGCCCAAGCTGTAGGCTGAAATTGCACACAATTTAGGCTAGGTAAGCAGATTAAAAGTGCCTGCTTCAAAAATGGCTGCCTATTTATACTGGGCCAACCTCCTTTATACTCTAACTCCACTCCCACATGGGGCCTTCCCCCTATGCCCGCCTCCTAGCTCTGTCAAGCCCTTATTCCACTAAGTTGCGCTTGTTCCTTAGGGTTACACAACAGCGTACACTTATACATACACGTAAATATATAGGCATGAAAAATTTGCACATTTAAGTTTTATAGGAACAGATTTAACTAGTCTGTCATGTCTCAGATTTGAGTAGCTTGGTTATCGAGATTAGTGAGACATGCGTACAGTGTACCAGTGAGATGATTTAAGTAAAACAGGCATGTAGCACATGAGAACTATTTCTAATAGCATGGTAGTAGCTTGCATAGTAATTATAACATGTGTGAGAGCTGGACACATTCATTTGAGTGCAGAAAAAATGCTAAGCCTGCTAAGCT